GCCCGCACCGCGCTCAGCCAGTGAGCGGGAACCGGTCTCCACATGGGATCCGAACCCTCGGCGGGAGCGCCGCCATACTCCCAAGCAGCGCACTCTCCAGTGCGCCACCAGGCCGGCCCAAAATTTACCAATTTTGACAAGAACATGGAACAACAGAACTCTCAAACACTGCTGGTGGGAAGGTAAGTTGTAAGGATCTTGGAGAACTGTGTGGAAAATACTACAGCTGAACATACATACCATAACCCAGCATTCCACTCCTGGGGATGTTCCCAGCACAGTTTGTAATTGTCCCAAATAATCCATCGAGGGTAAAATGAGTATGTTCTGCATCTCAATTGTGATGGTGATTACACACTGTATGTCAAAACTCCCAGAACTATGGGCCGGCCCGTGTCTCACTTGGGAGAGTGCGGTGCTGATAACACAAAGGCCACGGGTTCAGATCCCATATAGGGATGGCCGGTTAGCTCATTGAGTGAGCGTGGTGCTGACAACACCAAGTCAAGGGTTAAGATCCCCTTACTGGTCATCTTAAAAAAAAAAAAAAAAAAAAAACTCCCAGAACTGTACACTCAAAAGGGTGTACATGTAAATTATACCTTAATTTTTAAAAATGTAAAAACAGAAGAAAAAGAGTAGAGGGGCCGGCCCGTGGCTCACTCAGTAGAGTGCAGTGCTCATAACACCAAGGCCCCGGGTTCGGATCCCACATAGGGATGGCCGGTTCGCTCACTGGCTGAGCGTGGTGCTGACAACACCAAGTCAAGGGTTAAGATCCCCTTACCGGTCATCTTTTTTAAAAAAAAAAAAAGAAAGAAAAAAAAGAAAAAGAGTAGAATGAAAAATTCCATTTAGGGGTACATCCATATAATGGAATACTACATAGCACTGAAAAAGAACAAACTCCTGCTAAACAGGACAACCTGATGGATCTCACAATCATTACGCTGATTGAAAGAAGCCAGACACAAAAGAGCACTAACTGGACGATTTCATTTATGGGAAGTTCATGAGCAGACAAAACTAAGCTACCATGATAGAGGTTAGAATGGTGGTTACTTCTGAAGTGGGGGTAACTAAGAGAGAACATGAGGGAGCCTCCTGAGATACTAGAAATGTCCTATACCCTGCGCTGTGTGGCAATTCCTCAAGTCAATGCTCGATGCTAAAGATGTGTGCCCTTGATGAAATGTTGATTATTCCTCAATTTAAAAAGAAAACATTATTTTAAAAGATTGTCATTGCAAAATTTACCCAGTAACGCAATTCAGATGATGAGATGGATAATGATTCTTCCCCCAACACCTCAGACCCCACCCGTACCACTGACTTGGCCAGGCCCAGCACAGGTCAGCTTCCTGCGCTCGTGCCCACCCCACACAGCTCTTTTTTTTTAAAAAAAGATGACCGGTAAGGGGATCTTAACCCTTGACTTGGTGTTGTCAGCACCACGCTCAGCCAGTGAGCGAACCGGCCATCCCTATGTGGGATCCGAACCCGGGGCCTTGGTGTTATCAGCACCGCACTCTCCCGAGTGAGCCACGGGCCAGCACCCCCCACACAGCTCTTTAACCACGTGAGCCTGTGGCACATGGCTGCTCCCAGGCTCCTAGCAGACTGGGATTCCTGCCCCGCCCTGGCCCAAGCAAAACAACCTTTAAAATTGGCTGGAGTCCCAGGATTTTAAACCACCTCTCTGCCTGATCCACTTCCCTTTAAGAGCATCCAGGAAGAAGTTTCTCTGGCTGGGGGGAAGGGAGATGGGGCATCTCTGTCTCCATCCCCTGAAACTTCCAAGGGCAGAGGCATCCTGGCCTGAGCTGAGAGACCCTCATAGTGTCCCCTTTCTCAGGCCCAGGCCCCTGCCTCCCTCAGGGTAGATGCCAACACCAGGGCCTTCTCTTGGGGAAGTTTTGTCTCCTGGCTTGGCCAAGCACTCCTCCACACCTCCCCCCCATCTCTCCTGAAAAATGAGCCAAATACCTACCTGGTGGTCTTAGGAGACGATATATCTAAAAGTGTCTGACACATACTAAGTGTCCGGTGACTGCAGCTGTGACTCTGATGGTGGGTTATGATGGGGACAGATGTGGCCAAGGCCATCAGCACTTGGCACAAGGCCTGGGTGTTGTAGACACTCTGCCCATGCTCCCTCCTCCCCATGTGGACTAATCCAGGAGTGGGAAGAGGACATAACAGCAGAAGCCAGGCAGCCTAGCCCCACCCCCTTGGCTGCTGGGACCAAGGCGGGAGGCGAGGGGTTGAAAGTTCCAGGCAGGCTGGAATGCCTACTCTGCTTGTATCTGCTGTGTGATCTGTGTGGGGCAAGTGAGTGCCCTCTCTGTGCATCCAGCTACCTTCCTCTGTGAAACCAGGAGGGAGAGCAGCTACAGACCACCTGAGCACTCAGGGTGGAGCGGGCAAGTCTCAACATGACAGTGCCGAAAGCTCACTCTCCACTTCCCTGCCTATTTCTCCCTTTCTCCAGGGTCTGCCCAGCTATTTTCCCCTTTCTGGGGCAAGACTTACACCCAGATAAATGTTCACCTTGATGCCAGCTGCCTGCTCAGTGGAATCTCTTCGTCAGAAGAGGTCCAGCCCCCAGACCATCAAAGCCACACCCCAATACCCCCAACTGTTGTGCCCTTGCAAAGGAATCTGGACTAGGAGTGAAGACCAAGGCTTTGGGCATAAGAAACTTGGGAGACAAGCCAGAGATAGGGCAAGTGCCCTTTAGACTCAGCCTTGGAAAGAAGGAACAAAAAGAAAAAGAAAAATCAGCCAGTTGCTAACTATATTACTTAAACATCTTAAATCTTCTATCAAGAACATTTACGTAGAGTTATAGATTTTTATCTAAGTGTCCTACATCACCAGGGTTTAGGAAACACTTCGCTTATGGAAAGACATCATCGCTAATCAGATTTTCCCCCACCACCTCACTAAAACTACCCTTATCAAGGTTACCAGTAACTTCAACATTGCTAAATCAAGTGATTAATTCTCAGCCCTCATCTTTTTTTTTTCTCAAAGATGACCGGTAAGGGGATTTTAACTCTTGACTCGGTGGTGTCAGCACCACGCTCTCCCTAGTGAGCCACGGGCCAGCCCTTGGAGTCCCCTCTTATTGCTCTGGTAGGAAATAGCCTCCATTTCCCCATCCATAAATGAGGCAGGTAATCACTGCACCACCTACTTCACAACGTAGACAAACTTTCACGGAAAGACGTGATCACATCTGACATACGTTGTGCGTGCACTCTGTAGCAGGCAAAGGCAGCATCTTACTTGAACAGACGCAAAGGAGCCTCTACAATCACATAGCTTACATCTGTGTGGGTGGGTCATCTGCAGTGGTATTCAGACAGGATTCCCTCAGACACCTGGGTTTGGGCCTGGGATGGGTTCTCCCAGATATTGGCTCTTTCCCACTCTTGAGGGGATGAGGTTGGGGAGGGCACAAATCCTAAAGTGCCATGCCAAGAGGCCTTTAAGATTATCCTGATGGCGGGCCGGCCCGTGGCTCACTGGGGAGAGTGCGGTGCTGATAACACCAAGGCCACAGGTTCAGATCCCATATAGGGATGGCTGGTTGCTCACTGGGTGAGTGTGGTGCTGACAACACCAAGTCAAGGGTTAAGATCCCCTTACCAGTCATCTTTATAAAAAAAAAAAAAAAAAAAAAAAGATTATCCTGAG